GGTTGGTGGTGGCCACCACTGGGGAAGAAAGATGTGGACCTGTGGGGTTTCTGCTCCAGCTCCTGCTTCTGGCACCAGATCTTTCCCCTCAGTGCGAAGAGGACATTGAAGGGCAATGGGGCTGGGAAGGATTTGGAGCACAAGAATTACGGGGAGCAGCTGAGGGAGCTGGGGTTGTTTGGTTTGGAGAAGAGGAGGCTGAGGGGAGACCTTATCGCTCTCTACAGCTCCTGAAAGGAGGGGCTAGTGAGGGGGGGGTTGGTCTCTTCTCCCAGGTAACAAGCGATGGGATGAGAGGAAATGGCCTCAAGTTGCACCAGGGTAGGTTTATGTTGGATACCGGGAGGAATTTCTTTACTGAAAGGGTTGTCAAGCACTGGAAGGGGCTGCCCAGGGAGGCGATGGAGTCACCATCCCTGGAGGTGTTTAAAAGACGAGATGTTGTGCTAAGGGACATGGTCTAGTGGTGGACTTAGGGCTGGTTCAGTGGTTGGACTCAATGATCCTAAAGGTCTTTTCCAACCAAAACCATTCTGTGATTCTGTGATCTTCATGTCTCAAGGCTGCAGCTGCTCAGCCAAGCCCTGGTGCCTGAGTAAAGATCCTACATAAGGTGCTAACTTTCAGCTGCAAGTGGCTGTGGTTCCTGCTGTGTTGCCTGGGCAGACTCCTCCTTCCAGGTCAGGTTATTCCCCAGCCTTCTTGGTGGGACCAGGAAGACTAAAAATTAATAACAGAGCTGGCTCAGGGTACGAGAAGCTTGATTGAAGCAGGGAGCTCGGGTGTGCGATTGGGTTTGCTGGCATTGGTGCCAACATGTTGAACACGTTGCTTCCCCTCTCTGCACCCTTCTGCAGGGCTCTGTGGACCCATCGCAACTGCCGGCCTTGATCCCACCTAGAAATAGGTAGACTGGTGCCTATGCACGTGTGTCTGATGAGCTAAGGTCAGCACAGGTTTGGTTTCAATGCTCTTACCAGCGAATTTCATTTTCCGGTGAAGCTCTTTGAGTGTGGCAGGAGTGCTCCACAGACACTGCACTGCAAGTTATGGCTTAGAAATACAGAGAGTAAGTAGAAAATCAATTAAAATGCAGTGGTGGTTTATCAGAAGGAAGTCTGTGCTCTCTTTGATCATTGATTTTTCTAGATGACAGCTTCTTACCTGGCTGCCCTTCCACAGACTTTTGACAGGAGGTCATGTGGGAAGAAAATTAAGCAGGAGAGGACAATGGTTAATGAAAGGATATTGAGATGCATCTGTGTAAAGAGTAAGAAGTAAATGGCAGGGTAGTGCTGAGAGGGGGAGGCAGGAGATTAGTAGTCCGTTTATTGATAGTAACTGCGATTTATTTATGAACTGTGGTGTTAATTACTCTGGCACAATTAGCAGGTATGTGTCTGCAGCAAACTTAGCGAGTCCGAAGCTAGAAGATGTGGGTAGCACAGGGATGCTGTGCAAGGAGGACTGGCGTGGTGGAAGGAGGCTGTAGTCCAGCATTGCGAGGTGCACGCCCTTACGCTTCGGCGCCAGGGAGAAATTTTTACTCTGTAAAGCAGGAGCTTATCAACCGAAACCACCCGTGCAGTGCAACCTTCAGATAAACCACAAAAGCCATCTCCAGTTGAGATAGTGAGCTGTTACTGCTGTATTGGGAAGCACTGGGGAAACCCTGTGTGTGCAATTCTGCTTTTTTATTTTCCAGAAAGACTTCCTTGAGCGGGCAGATGAGGGGCTGCGGAGATGATGGGAGTGAGTGAAACGAGCAGGCTGAGAGCTGAGCTTGACATGGCCGATAAAAGCGACGTCTGAGAGGGTTTAGTTGCTTAATCTGACCATCATTAGACATAGCAGGACCTAATTTTTGAAGGAAGCAGTCAAGAAAGGGTTGACTGGGCCCAGGGTTTCTATCAGAAACCTTGCTGTGGCCCAGGGTACCTTCATTCTGGTCTTGAGTGGGTCCTGTATGCACTGCACTCCAAATCATGCACATACTGGAAGAAATAGAGACAAAATGTCTCAGATTTTAATCTCCCTTGGGACATCATTAGCGTTGCTTGAAAACGTTGTCTGTGCAGGGATCTGACCTTGCAAGATGAATTTTTTAGCATATCAAGTCAGAATATTGAAACATTTCTAAGTATGACTTTGAACGTTGCTAGCTCAGCTTTGGAGGGACAGGAACAAGGGTGGAGCATAAGCCAGTTCACCAACCAGATGATGCTTGTTTTGAGCAGTAAAACCCCCATACGGATCAGGTGCACCGGGCTCTGATGCAGGATTTCCTTGAGAGCTTTAGGAAGTGGAGCAGGTAAAAGTAATTCAAACTCTGCTGGAGAGATCTCTGGTTGACACATCCAAAGGCCTCTCATGCTCTCATTGCTTGGAATCCTGGATCTGCTTTTCTTCTTGCTGCATCCTTCTTCCTACTGGTAATAAGATTCTCCTCTTTCTTTCTTCATCTCTGAATTTGAGCTGCCTCTGAGGTGATGTGGGCAGTATGGAGTGGTTTTGAGAGGTTGGGGTTTTTGACCTAGGGTTTCCTTGTCAGAGGTCCTGCTCCTGCTGCAGAACACCTTAGCACTACCATGGTGGTGTTTGATGCTCGATGGCAGAGCAAGCCTGCACAGCACAACACCCCTTTTGGTGCTGCAGTAGGAAAGCTGGCTGGTGGAGAAACAGGAGTTGCTGTTGCTGTGAGTTTTTCCTCGATGGTTTCAGTGTTGCAGCAGGTTTGGTAGGTGCAGGAGAAGCAGGGTCACGTCAGTGGCTGTCACTGGTGGAGGACTCCCATTTCTCATGGTGAAGGCTTTTCCGTGCTGCCCTGTGGATGTAGTTACTAACAGTAGAGGCGCAGGTCTGGCTTCAACCTCTAGCTCATTTTCACCCTGCATAAATAAGGAATCATGGTGGATATTGACTTTTTTTATTCTCCCCACACCCCACTGTGGGGAGACTTCTGCTGTAACCTGCTAACAGGTTAGAAATATTTGCTATCCAGCAATTTGCAGCAAAAAAATAAAGGATTTTACACTTTCTGGTGCCTTTGGATATTGAAAAATTGCAGACTGTAGTTATTCTCACATAAATTCAGCGTATGCCCTTGGTTTATACAACATTCAGGTAGTTTCCTCACATCTAGACAGCTGCATGGTTTTTATTAATGTGGGAGCATGGTAATGGGTTGCTTTTCTGGTTTTCATTCTTCAGCCTTGCTATCAAACTTTTCTCCCCAAGCAGTTGCTTTCTCCTGGCTTGGGTCACACTTAGAGTGCACTGGTGGCAATTCTTCATCCTGATTAACAGGGTTGAACCTAAAAGCATTGCGCTCATCTCAGTGGTACCTGGATTTTGGAGACAGGGAGTAATCCATGGCGTTCCTGGAGAAATCATTTGCTATGAGGAACACCTTAGGTGTCAGAAAGTCTTCAGCAGCACCAGAATGTCCATTTTAAGCTCATTGCCATGTCAAGTACAGAGGCATCACAGCTTTCTTCTGCCCTACCCTGGAGGCAGATGAGCCCAGCTCATTCCTTCATTCCTGACTGGTTTCCACTCTCTTTTCCTCTCACTGCTCATGGTATGATCCCTCACAGACTGTTTGTGCATCAACACACTCCATCAGTCATCAATGTGATGTATGAGGACCTAATTATTATTATGTTTTTTTGCTTAACCATTAAATACGTGGCATTTCTTATCCTTCCAGTCTTGGTGCAGAAGTGGAAACCAAAGATCCGTGATTTGAGCAAGGGTTTCTGATTTTTCTGCTATCTCTGTATGGCTGAAAGAGATCAGAAAGGAAAAATGCTTGTTTTAGGAACAGAGTAAACATAAAGTCTTTCTGTAGTATCATGTTTCCTACCATTAATCATGGTTTGGTTGGGTTTTGGTTTTTTTCAAACTTCTATGCTTCCATATAAAACTTTTCTAGTAGAATTTCTGACTCCGCCTTTGGGATTCTGGCAGAGGAGTCCTTGGTACCAGTTCAGTGTCTTTTTCGTGCTGTTTCTGTAAGAAATTAGCCAAAGCAGGGTAGAAAATACGGAATTGTGTGCAATTAGGGTGCATGTTATGGCCTATTCCTTCCTACTGATCTGTAAGCTGTTCCATTGGCTTTCTTTCTGTTTCCTGCTGCTTTCTTGCTTCGTTATTGAAGGGAGGATTCAGACCTATACAGGTAATTTTCACTCCTGGTTCTGCATGGCATAAGTGTCTCTCTCACTCGTATCATTACTCCGTTAGTGAATGCCTTAATGTCCGGTGCATATTTTACTGACTTGAGTCTCAAGATCGCACAGACTCCAGAGCCAGGGCTTTCCGGTGCCATGAATGCTCCATTCCACGGATGCTGATGCCTTTCCCAGCGCATAAGGGTTGAGAACAGAGCGGGTACCAGTGGGCTGCTTGGTTTCCTGGACCTGCTCCATCTGCGTGGGGCATCACTTCATGCAAACGTGATAGAGGAGTTTGGTGCCACCCTGGGAGAGGTTGCCACCTTTCCGAAAACAAAAGGCAAGACAAAAGCAATAGGCACCCAGCTCAATTCCTCTAAAGGACAGGCATGAGGCGCCTCTGGCTGTTGTAAAAATCTGGCTTTCTAGCTGTTCTGGAGTTGCCGTGATCTTTCATTTCCCTAGAATATTTTTAAAGGTGGCTTTTTTGGCGTTGAACCCACCTTATAAAGAAGATATTTGACAAAAATGGTTTTTCTAGCACTCGCTCTGAAAGTTGAGCTGTGTAACTCAGTAGATACAAATGAACAGTTATTGGTGTTCAGCGTTTCTTGCCATTTTTCTGCCATGTAAAATTGGAGCCTATAGCATGATCTTGCTGTTTACAGAAAAACAGAGATTGTCCTGTGGTTTTCAGAATGTGTGGCAACCCTTTGGAAAAGTAGTATTATCATTATAATATTGTCACGACATTTCAAGTGCTTTCCCAGAAGGTCTGACCGGTTCTCTGTTCTCTCTCCTTCCCCTCTCCCTTCCCTCCCCCAGTTCTTTCAGAGGCCTCAGATCCAGCCTCCGAGAGCCACCATCCAGAACAGCAGCCCTTCCATCCGTCCCGGTGCTCAAACGCCGACCGCGGTCTATCAAACCAACCAACACATCATGATGGTTAACCACCTGCCGATGCCCTACCCCATGCCTCAGGGCCCCCAGTACTGTATACCGCAGGTACAAACACATTGGCCGGGCACCTACAGCAACACTGGCTCCATCTGGGTTTTCTCCAGAGTTGGGAGGGAGGGGAAATGAAGCTGGTGGTGGAGTATTTAACCCCTGTCCTTGTTCTCTATGAAGTGTTTGTTCTTCTGTGCATGAAGGCAGGAAGGATAAATTACCTCACAAGTTTTTGAGGTCCCTCTCAAAAACAGTGTGAGACTACTAAGCTCTTGGAAAATGTGTAGTGCTATAAATGTATCTAAAAGGACTTAATAGCTCTACAATTACTCTAAAACCTTGGGCCTCATAAAAACACAATACTGCTGAAATCAGGAGAGTGACTGTTTCCTACTTCATGTCCTCGCTGCCTTGTCTTGCGGTGACATAGCTTGCACCTCTTTCATGGTGACACTTCTGAATCTGTGATTAATCAGTTTGATAATCAGATACTTATTGATCTGGGAAGCTCCACTACAGTTTCTCTATGCAACAGCATGAAGTTGCCCAACTCTTTGTAAACTGATGGTTATTTTCTTCCCCTCCCAGTATCGTCACAGTGGCCCCCCGTATGTCGGGCCCCCGCAGCAGTATCCGGTTCAGCCTCCAGGACCAGGGCCCTTTTATCCAGGACCAGGTCCTGGAGAATTCCCCAATGCCTACGGTAAGTTCTGCTTGGAGATTTCTTAACAAGTCTTTTCTGGGTGTGTTTTTCTGTTGTCAAGCCTAAGATTTATAATAGCAAAGTGGATTAGCGTTTGTTTGAACTTCAGATAGCTGCTTGATTTGGTTGTGTCACAGCCCTTGTTATTCACTCCTGAAAAAATTACAATAACAGAGTATTGTTTGTATCAGTGCTTAAAGAAAGGTGCAACTCGCAGAGCTACCCATAATCACATGTGAACAAGAATAGTGGCTATTCGTTATTCCCTGCTCAACCATTATTATTTATTAAGGTTTTGTGAATACATCTGGCAGCTCTGGTTTCCACTGAGCTGTGCCCTGGGTATGTTCACAGCAACACAGCAGTTGGCGTTCCTTATCCCTGCCTTCCTTGTTCGGCGTTTAGTGAAGGAAAAGAACAAGGCACGCGGTTCGATTCACCGGTCTCATGCTGTGAAGATCACGTTAGTCCAGTCGAAGAGCTTGTAACCCATGCACAGGCTGAAATTTGTCCATTTAATGGGCGACCCCTGGTCTTGCCTTTTCTCAAACAGAAAGTTTGAGAGATTGCCCAGCATGGCTGTGTGCACTGTGGTTGTTTGGCTCCTATATTCGGTGTATTTTATTGACGCCTCCAGGTACTGAGGGGGTCCCAGTTTGCAGACCCCGTGTCCTTCACTGACCCCTGACACCTCTTCTCTTAGCAGTCGTATTTCACATACCATCGAGTCCTTGCTTAATGATTTCCAGTGTGTTGCCATGCACAATATATACCACAGTACATCACAGTCCCCTCTAAGGTTTTCTGTGGGATCTGTATTTTGATATTTAAAACAAATCAGCTCCTGCAAGCTGTATTTGAATGTGATGCAGAATTAGGAATCTTGCAGTCATGTATATAACGTTTTTTAAAATTTACCTTTGCTTGCTCATTTATAGGAACATTGAGATTCTGGTCATCACCCTGTTTTGTGGGGGTTTTTTAGAGGGTTTTCACCCCTTAATATCGAACTTGAGGTATTTTGTTCAACCTGACTGCTACCTGCCCACACTCATTCTGTAATCTGTTGGGGGCAGAGATACCATCAACTTTCCGTGTGACTTTAGCCGTTGGCATTTTGGAGCGTTAGGATCGCGTGGTTACCTCCCGGGCTGAACAATGACCACCCCGTGCCGTTGGCAGGGTTGCCCGTTTGCTCTTCACAAATACAGATTCCTTTTCAAGGGGAGAAAAGCCTCAGTTGCTTCCCTGCTTATCATTTTAAAAGGTCTGGACTCTCTTATTTTTTCCTTTCTTTGTTGTTATATTTTTTTTTTTAATTTGCTGTGTATGGACCTAATGGGGCCGCTTTGAAAGGTTGCCATGAAGCCTTCAAACCTGATTATGCAATTTGTGAATAAAAGGAGAGCGAGCAATTATAAGGCAGCTACTTCCTCTTTGCTTATCTGAGAAAAAAATAAAGAGAAGAAAAACTGCAATGGCTCTTTAAAGCTCATCCACTAAATGAGGAAATTACCCAGTATTCCTCTTTTTTTCTTGCCGTTACAGGTCTGCTTTCTTCTTGCTTTCTGCTCGTTTAATGCCTTTTGTCTGTCTTCACTTCTGTAATTTGGAAAAAGTTCCCTTCTGCTTCCTTCCCGCTCCTGAAAGTGCCTGGTTTCTTGTGCAGAGGTTTGTAACCCTCCAGCCCCAGCTTGTTTTTAGGTTGCTGGAGCTGTGGAGCATCAGAGCGCGAAGCTGGAGCCGTCACAGAATCACAGAACGTTAGGGATTGGAAGGGACCTCAAAAGATCATCTAGTTCAATCCCCCAATCCCCCAATCTCCCACACAGAGCGTTTTCCAGGTTTAGCCAAGGAAGAGGGATTGCGGATTTGCCTGTGCTCCTCCACCTTTCCCTCTCACTATTTAGGGCCTGAAAATGTCCAATCGTGCACCAGGCACTGCTCATGACACTGGGAGATGACTAAATTTAAAGTCCATAATGCTGCTGGCAGTGGCCTTTCCCTTAAACCTCAAGACATCGTAGCCAGCGTGGCTGCTAGACACCAAAACCATCACCGTTTGGCAGGCTGCAGGAGAAATACTACAGGAAATACTGCAGAAGACAAAACTTGTGAAGAGGGACAATACATTTTTTTAAACTGTCTCAGTTTTGCAATTATCATTTTCTTTTGTAGCAGCGAGGGAAGACCTTGAAATGATGAACGGAAAGGAGGGAGGATGAAACTTGGGTGCCGCTGAACTGGAAAGGATGAAAAGGCAGAGTGCAGAGCAAAGAGTGTTGCACTGAGAAATGCGCTTGGTTTGTTGCCACAGAAGCTGCGTTTCTTCCCCAAAGTTACTCCTGCTCTTCAGGATTTGCTTTTTTTTTGAAGTACTCTTCATAAAGGAAGAGTCCTGCCTTGAGTTACGCTGTAGCTTGCTCTCTGGTGGGGATCACGTTGCAGGGTATCTGATTAGATCTGGTTTCTAGGAAACTGAAAATCAAGATAATTACTGCATTGCAGGGCTCCCAGCCTTGCTCCTGTCCTCTCTCGTTCTCCAGACTCACATTGTACACCCGACTGGCTTGGCCAAAGCGTTGATTGGAAGAGTTTGAGGCTCCATCACTGTTTTTAAGGAGAGGGGCAGGAGGGATCTCGCTTCCCAAGCCTTGGGGATGCCAACGGAGACTTCTGTGTCCTGAGGCCAGTTCTGAAGTGACTCTGTGTACCACGAAGTTCAAAATTGAAAGTTTATTGAGCTTTTTAAAAGGTTTTGAGCTGAGGATGCAGAGGGGGTGCCAGCTCCCAGCTTCTACTTCCCAGCTCCATTTTGAGGAATACGCCCTTTGAAGTTTCAAATCAGATGGTGCTGGGCTGCTTTTGTTGGCTTTCCCTGTTTGCTTGAGATAATAATAATCACCTGGTTTCTTTACGGACACACAATACTGATTTTCATTCCCATTTAAAGGTTATTTCAGGTGGAGAATAAATCAGATGCGAGCAGGCAGGCCATTCAGCATCCGTGCTGAGAAGGAAAAAAACGCAGCACCATCTAGCAAGCTCACCTGATATCTGATCCACAGACAGAAAACAGCTCTGCTGTATTTCTGGCACGTCTTTTAAGCACTCAGTTGTTTTGAGCCAGGCTTATTTCATAAAGAAAAACATAAACATAATGAAACTATATTGGATATTATGAATGTAATCAACAGTGCGGTGTAATTTTGCAGTAATAACCGTGGCCGAGCTTTTTTTGTGTTACAGCATGAGAAGAACGCGGCTTGTAATGAAATTTTCTGGCTATGCCTCCAAACAGGTTGCAGTTGACCTTACAAATTCTTTGTAATGGTTTGACTGAACTTCTCTACAAAGGCAAAAAAACCCCAACTCGACAACCAAACAACAAACCCACCTGTTTGTCAGTCGGAGGAGTCCAAGGATGAGCTGCTTTGCTTTTCATGCCTTAGTGATTTCAGCAGCTTCTCAGAAAGGGATGCATGTGATTGTTTGGGGCTTTTTTCCTGTTCATGTAATTAAAAAATGAAACGATGACTTAATTGCTTGTCTTGATGAAGTAACAGCTTCTGTTTTAGTGAAAGTAGGGAAGAGCAAAGCACAGACCAGTGAGCAGCTGGGTGTTGGATGTTTTTGAAGGGAGCGAGGAGTACGTGGCCAGTTTTACCTCTTGCGCTTGGTTTTGTTTCATTAAGAAATGGAATTAATTTTTCACTCTCATTTCTGTCTTGTCCTCTTGCAGGAACACCTTTCTACCCAAGTCAGCCAGTCTATCAGTCAGCACCCATCATAGTGCCTACACAGCAGCAGCAGCCTCCACCAGCTAAAAGAGAGAAAAAAACGGTAAGCCAGCATCGTTAACCCATCCACCCCTTCTGAGAACTGTCCCGGTCGTAAGGTTGAAGGAAATTAATAACAAGATTAAGCTTAAAACTGAGCTTTATCCTCACAGAGAGGCTAAGTGTCACCTTTCACACTTAAGTGTAATTAAACATTGCATAATACTGCAGTGTTTGTCTTACTGAAAATGAGGTCTTTGCTCTGACTTTGTGACACCTCAGCCAGTCAAAAAGGGAAGTATTTTTGCCAGTTTTGTAATGAACATAAATGAAAGCAGCATCGTCTCCCCAGTCCTGGGATCCTCAGCTGCCTGCGCTGCTGCTTAAGAGTTTTACCAGAGGCCAGTGGGAATGAGCAAACACTGATCAGTTTGGGAGAATGTTGGGAGTTGTTCAAATTGACAAAACAATTATAAAATGTTCAATATTATGCCTTGGGAAAGGTAGAAAAGCAGTGAGTTGTGGACTTATTTGCAGGTTTGAAAAGACCTGAACACACAACATTATCCAAGTAGACAGAGGTTTTTAGACCAGATTTCCTCTCTTCCTAATTCACTGGTCAGATTTGAGACATGCAGATTAATGAAAATTAAGCCTATTTAAATGCAGGTGAATGATGACAGGGAATAGTAAAGGCACACAAGGTGAATGTGACAACTAAACAGGAAAAGTTAGGGGTGGACTTGTACCTGTGGTGAATAATTTTTAAGGAACTGGATTGAAAAGGAAATTACTTGACACCACTGTGTGTTAGAGTAGTTTCAAAACATCAAAAGAACTGTTACCTGGCAAAAAAAAGGTCTCAAATGCAGAGTATCTGTATCTTTTGACTTCTGAAGATGATCTGAGATGACACTTGGTTTGGGAAACTGTCGGAGCTGAACAGTGTGCTAGCTGGGCTTACAAGAAAGGCTTTTTTGGTAGCTGCTGTCAGCAAAGGGTGATGCAACTCCTCTTTTGCCACCTCCTCACCCTCCCCTTCAGCCCTGAGCAGTCTCTTTTCAGCATGCGAAACATGACATGGCCAGGTCATCAATGCCAGCTGAAGTGCAAAGATGTTCACAATACTCGGCTGTGGTTAAGGCAGCTTCCTGCCAACAAAGCTGAGTTCTTTGAAGCAGAAGAGCAGAAAGATTTTTAAATGCCCCAGGTGCTTTTCTCTGGACATACTGTTTCAGTTTGCTGATTGGTGTTGCAGCTGAAGAAATGAGAGAAATTAAAGGGAAATTAAATGTATATATGTACGCGCACCCACGTGTGCCATTAGTTCAGTATTTGAGTACTACGAGCTTTCGAGCAGGGAAAGGTTGTTTTAATGCCATTGCCTACTTGTCAGGAGGAGGAGAGGGTAGGAATTAGTGCCAACTTTTCAAGTCCTTGTTGCTGTGGTTAATTAAATGTTTGAGCAGAAAAACTCCTAAAAAATAAGAGAAGACCACATCCTGTCACCATCCTGAGCACCATGTGTATATTTATTTATCTTCATAACCCAGAAGAGTCAAGAAGACACGATTCTGAAGTTGATAAATCACAAAATCCTTCTGCAGTTTGTGACCTTATATGTTGCTGGTTAAAAAAAACCACGGCGGTTTCCATGAGACCCCTGCCCTCAGAAGGATTTTGGCTCTTGGTTTGCTTGTGGTTGTGCGATTTGTGTAGAGTTCAGCCAAGAGCTCTTGAGAAGGTGGACAGACAAACGATCGCACCGTCTGTAGGCTTATGAAAATCCTTAATTCTTACCTTGAAGATTAAAAGCTCTATTTCAAATTAACCCAGACAGCTTGACTGTGCCCCACATTCAGCGACACAGCTTGGCTCAAGTGCCAGGTGAGGGTTCAAATGAGTGTGTTCTCAAGTGGTTTATTTTGGACTGTTATTATTTTCCTTCCCATCTGGGGCTGTGAAGAGACTCAAAAACATTCTTGTTTCCTAAATGCTGATGAGTTTCATAGGACTTCTGGTTGTTCTTGCTGTTTCCCTTTCCTCTGCTCTGTGCTGTTTCCTTGATTCGTTCTACTTGGTTGTTATGATTTTTCTCAGCGTGGAAGGGAAAAAATAAAACTGAAACAAAAAGAGCTGATTTAATACATGGCTTTTTTTTTAACTGTCTGCTAAATTTTCTGAGTTGCAGTAAACTTATTTTGGTTTTCATACACTGAGGTGCATATATTTAGACGTGACTGGTACAGTTGGTGAGCATTTTGATTAAATTAGGTTTTGAGATTAAGGGAGGAGTTCTCATGCATTTCAAGTTATGGAAACAAACCACATTTTGCTGTTCCTGCAGAGCATCCACCCCAAGTGTGGTGGAGTTGGGTCCTGTCCGTGCTCTCCTCTCCATAACCCCAAGGTCCGCATGTATCGGGAAGACTCGTTTGAATTATTTCTTTGTTCAATACCGTAGATCCGAATCCGGGATCCAAACCAGGGAGGCAAAGATATAACAGAAGAAATAATGTCTGGAGGGGGCAGCAGGAACCCAACGCCTCCCATCGTGAGACCCACTTCCACACCTACACCACCTCAGGTAATAACGTGGCCACATAGCCCTTTCCCAGTGCTGTCCACTTTGCTTTGTGGTTTGTTAGAGCCAGTTCCTGTGTCTTTCTGTCCACACCACTGATCTCCTCAGACACCTGGATGGTCCTAAAGTGCCCGTGTTCTTCAAGGATTTTTTTTTCTCCAAATTTGGTCATTTTTACCAGCCTATAGTTTGCAAAATGTGGAGCTGCAGCGCTGCTACAAGTTTGATTTTTTTATTCCCTGTTTTTTTTAGAGCTGGTAAAGACTTCTGCTGTTAAAGTAGGAGCTAATGTATTTGTGAGAAATGTGGTGTTTCCGTTAGTGTCTTGTGCATCTCAGGCAAGTTCATATCATGTATGTGAATGATTATATACCTTCAGCTGCATCACTGTCCGTACTGATGTCTTTCAGTGTTAGTGTTGTTCTGTAAACAGAGTGACTGTAGCTCAGGAATTTATCACAGAGCTTCCAGATGTGATCTCTGCGTGTTTAACCTTAAGACTGCATTTTTATGTCATAGGAAAAAAGCATAAATATTCCAAACTGGCATTTTCCATAGCTCATGAATACCTTCAAAAATCCTTGTCCCACATCTTGGAGTTTCTGACTGCTTCTAAGACTCCATATCCTGCTTCACCGGAGAAGTCCACATCTGGAAATTAAATTGGGTGGAAACCCAGGTCTGTTCTAGCCCTTCTGAGTCCAGGGCCAAAAGAACGCTCAGACATGTGGCCCAGCAGTCTTGACGTGAACGTAAGTCCACCATGACACGAACTGATGGGGCTGGAGGTGGCTGCGTTATCTCATTAGAAGATGATTCCTCTCCTCTGACCACCTCTTCCCCACCTGCAGCAGGAAGAGGTGGTGCCTCCTTGATAGCATCGGAGATGGAGAGGATGTCCTCTCCTGAAGAGATGGCAGCTGCTGTCCTCTTCCCAGCTTGGAGTAGCTGCTGTTTGCTTCATACATCGTCTTGGTTCTCCCACTCTTTTAGGAGATACGGGGCTAAGCCACAGGCTGCTCAACTGCAAAGGTTTTGAACAACTGGAGAAGAAACTCTATGGCTTGGCACATGTTTTATTGGAGGTTGTTGTCCATGGCTCGGGGGCATGATAAGAAGAGAATAAATACCAGGAAGGTTCTCCAAGTCATGGGTGGGCAGTAGATCAGAGCCTGGCTGAGGTTGGGGTGTGATTTCTTCTTCTAAATCCTTCCCTGTTTATTCTCAGAGACAGTTTTTGCTGGCTTTTAGGTGAAACAGCCTTTCCTGGGCTGAAACCTTATGTTGCCCTCTGCATATGGATGGTTTTTCTGCTGCCTGCAGCAAGAGCACAAGCTCCTTTGAGACACCCATTGCATTGGAGCAGGAGCCTGAGGTTACAGTTGAGCCAATAGAAGTGTGACTGAGATGACCAAGATGAAACAGGAGCCTGGCCTGCAGATCTCCCCTCCGTTGAGACCAATGGGATGGTCACCACTTTTGGCCATTCCCCTGATTCAGTCAAGGCCTTTTGTCATGTGAAGACCCCAGCATTGGCTTTGGGTCACCACCTTTCTCCTCCTGGTCTCCATCATGGGCGAGCAGCAGCAAGGCACCATGCTCGAGCAGTTCCCATCTAGCTGTGTTTTGGCAACAAGGTCTGCAGCTCTTGACTGGAAAAAGCAATATTTCTGCTAGAGAGCGGTCTGATGATCTGCAGCTACAGGGGAGAGAGCAGAGAGGTGGTTGTGTATAGAATCAATTAAACTTCTTTCCAAGCTTTTTCCATAAGATTCTAGCAATGTCAAATCACAGAATCATTAAGGTTGGAGAAGCCCTCTAAGATCATAAGGTCCAACCATCAACCCAACCCCACCATGGCCACTAAACCATGTCCCAGGTGCCATATCTACATATTTTTTGAGATCTCCAGGGATGGTGACTCCACCACTGCCCTGGGCAGCCCCTTCCAGTGCTTGACTGCTCTTTCAGTAAAGACATTTTTTCTGATACCCAATCTAACCCTCCTCGGGTGCAACTTGAGGCCATGTCCTCTCATCTCATCGCTTGTTACTTGAGACAAGAGACCAACACCCGCCTCACCAGACCCTTCATTCAGGTTTCACATTGGAGCACTGGTGAGATCTTCTTCCCGTTGCTTCATGCTAAATGACTTTCCCCATTAGAACTGGGGAAGAGTAGGAAACAGCCGAGGTTTCAGGGTGTGTTTATGATGGTGCAGCTAATCCAGGCACTCACGGGATCACTTTTGCATTCTGAAATCTATTTTAAGATACTACAATTAAGTCAAACAAGATGAAATAAATGTTTTTCAAGAGGAGGTTAATAGGCATGCATTTTTATCAGCTGTAATTTCTATGCAGAGCACAGCCATGATGTCCAGTCTCCTCTAAGGTATGCAAATACTTCATTGTTTAATAACCAGGCTTCACTTTGATTAGGTACTTGGAACCACTTTTGTTAATCACGGAAGAGCTCTGAACTAGAGCTCACCAGAAAAAGTTCATTAGTGTAACATCACGGAAAATTTAAGCCCACTTAAGCCAGGAAATTCAAAGTTATTGTCCCAGCAGCATCTCTCATTCATTTCTTTGGAGCAAGTGTAGTATCTTGGATTAAATTAGATTATGCCTTAATAACTGTGCTCAGTGGCTGAATGCCACTACTGGTATTTTGCACAGTTGAAAAATCAGTAAACTTTAAATATTCATCCATAACTTGGCTTGAAACGTGCTAGGGCTTTTTGGTGTTTCCTTTTGTTGCTGTCTCATTCCACCACCCCTTTGAACCAAACCCTGCGCTTTAGGGAATTTGAAGAGATTTCATCTGGTTGAACACCCAATCTCCAGGCTTGGTGAACCATTGTCCCATTAAAGTGTCTCCCAATCCAATGATATTTTAAAATTACGCTAAGTTCTGGTAGTGCTGCTTTCGTATTGGCTGCCAGTGTCTGATGCTCTAATCTTGTCATTTAGACAACACGACCACAGAGGGAGAAACTTGCTCTGGAAGTGTATAGAAACCACTGCTGCAGACCAGTTCCTGGCACAAACTTTACATTTTTTTATAATTTTATAATAATAATAATGCCTGTCATGTTGCCTTTTCTAAAATTTTAATTATTTTCTCATATATTTGGGGTTTTTTTTAGCTGACCCAAATAAACCCAGAAACTTTGATAACACAAGCCTGAAGCACCCCCTTCTCTCAGTAAATTAAGTTCTTAATGTCAAGAAATGGCTGGACTTGTCCACAAGATGAGCATTGTTTCCAAGACTCAAGCCATGTGTTTTTAACCATTTCCATGCCTTTCGTATCTCCTGCTTTGTAGTCAGCATCGCTGACCAAAAAGTGCTCTCAGTGGAGTCTTCCCAGCACCTCCACAGTTGTTCTTTAATTCCTAAAGTGCTTTAGAGCTCCTGCTCCAGCAAAGCTGGCACTAAATGGAGATACTATTTACACATTTCTCACAGGATGCTGTTTTTCACACTGTATTTTGTGCTGGGAGGATAAATAAAGCCCAGGACCGCATATGGAATCTGGCTGCGGGATTTGCTCAGCACTGACTTACATAGCAAAATCACCTTCTAAAGAGTAAGAAATGCTCTTATTTTCCTGGCAAACTTCTTGCAAGTCTCGGTGAGTTTGTCACATTTTGTTTGCTCTGTGGACCATGGTTGGATCAAATAACACAGAGCATAAATCATGAGAGCAATTTTGAGTGGTTTTTTTTTCCTAGAAAGTCTCTAAATGGTCCATTTCCAAGCTAAGGGTCAGTATTTAAGTACTACTCATATTCCTTTGCAATATGATTCCCACAAAAGAAATGAGTGTTTTCCAGATTTCTTAAGAAAACGTGTACTGACCCAAGGAGTTTGTAGGCTTACAAATTTCTTGTCTGCCAATCTCATTGCGTTCCTGTGATTCTTATCGCTTTCTCCTTTTTCCCCTACCTTCATCCATAAATTTTTCATGAAATGAAGCTTATGACCCGCTGAGGGTGAGGGGGAAGCATTCCCCAAACCTCCTTGTTCATAAAATTCTGTTTTCCTTGGCCTCCTCCAGCTTTGGCTGGAGATTGGGATGCAATTCTTCATCCCCAGTCCTGCCGATCTCCTCGGCTCGTTCCTGGACGAGGAGCAATCCCAAAATAAAATTTCAACCCTTCACCTCGCTTACTGAGGTTTTTATTTTTCCAGATGTGCTTTTTCATGGTCCTCCTTTTGCTTTCTGCCTGAAATGGTGAAAAATAGCGTATTGAAGAGAATTCGTTGTCTGCTCTGCACTGTTCAGATGAAATAGCTGAAAAAGGTGGAAATAAGAGGGGAAAAAAGAGTCTCAGGAAGAGGAGCAACTTGCCAGAAATTTGATGGTTTTATTAGGGAACTAAGTTTTGCATGGATTTCTGATAGCCTGTCCAAAAGAAGGAATTAGACACCTGTGTCTTGGGCGCTCTGCTTTATTTTGATAGTTTAAAAATCCCTTTTTCTTGTAGATCTTTGGAGAAGTCAGCACGGATGTACAGCTAGATAAGAACAGCCACCTGCAAATGCTGCGTGGCTTTCCACTTTAGAGTATTAAAATTAATTTCAGCCCCATTTCCTCCTTTGCGTGGTCCCTGGTGCGTGTTTAAGGGGATTTTGCAAATGTGACTATTTGGCTCGCCCCATCTGTGCTCACTCTGATGTACACAAGTGCTCTACCCGTAAGTTTGGGTCCCAGAGTTTGGTGTAGTTACTGAGTCTTACCCAAAGTCTTCCTGAAAGTCTGAGATAAAATACAGGGGATTTTTTTGTCTTTATTGAACCTTCGTGCACGCACATGAAGTCTTCGTCCCATTAATGGTGGGGATGTAATTAAAATACATGATCTCTGCAGCAGACCTTGGCTTTTCCAGTCGTGTGACTTTGCAGGTCTTGCAGTTCTGGGTTTGATATACAGAAAAATTCAACTTTGCTCTGCATTGACTGGAAACCAGCTCCTCCTGCTCCCCTTTAGCTTGGAGCACAATTGGGTTTGTTCTCATTTTACCCAGCAGGTACCAGCTGTAACTTTGTAGAAGGCATTGGAGACTTTTTTCCATACAACTGCACAGATAGAGCACTCCATCTTATTCTCTTACTATATATATATGTAATTTTACTAGATATAA